AGTCGACCGCGGTTGACCGCAACCGCGGTGCACTGTTCATGCTGCTGGAAAGTTTGAGGACCAAAGTGTAAAATCGGGGAAACTTTTGTAAAACCCTTATATGCTTTAGAAACTCGCCCAAGATGGGGCTAAGCTGTTTTTAGACTACTTTTGGAAGCAAGAACACGAGTGAGAAGATCAACCAAACATTAGAGTTTTTCTATCTCCTTTTAATTCTTGCAATTTACATTATGAACAATTTAGTAGTTTTCTCTTATTTTGTTATGAGTAGCTAAATACTTATCTAGGGTTGATGGAACCAATTGTTGGTTGAAGTTTTGACTCAAGTTGTTATAATCGAGCCGGATTTATGATATGATTGTTCAACTACGTTTTGTATGGTGATTAATTGAATGGACCCTTGATTAATCGTGTCTAATTACCTTATATTGCTTGAGAAAGAGTATTAGGTTAGACAGCTGTTGAACAACACCACTTTTGGGTAATTGAAGAGATTCATTACTTGAACTTAAAAGTGGGTTTGGAGATAACAAAACTTTGGTGGAATAATTTAGAGTTGCACACATATTGTCAGCTAGAGTAGTTCGAGAGAATGCTCTAGTAAATTATTGTAGTTGATCGAGAGATAATTACGATAACCCATAACTCTTAATCCTCATAGAGTATTACGGCGAGATTATAGCAGAAGAGTCAAGACCTAAACTAGCAATTGGAGAAATCACTGCCCTAGACCTTTTTTTACCATTGAATTAACTTTGTTTTAGCGTACTGTTGTTTTTAATAGTAGTTGAAGTAGTTAAACAAAAACCCAATCTTTATTGATCAAAAATCTTGCATCTAGAGATTGATTGAGTTGATAATAACATTGCCGTAGAGTGTAATAGATAGGTTAGTTCCCTGAGGATTCGATTCCGAACTTAAAACCGGATTATATTTGCAGCGACCGCTTTGTCCTTTAAATGACATAATTGGGCGTTATCACTGAGCTAGCTTTAAGGTCCATTTTTTATCAATATGTTTCTCCATTATATACTTTCCATTTAATAATATTGGATCTGAATTCTATCCACCGTTTTTAAGACAAAAAAACAGAGAACAATTCCCGGTTCCTCTTCTTTTTTCTGTTCAAAGGAAAGGTTGCATTAATTTCTTTGCTTCTTTCTTCTTCCTTCTCTCTTTTTTTCTTCTTTTTTGTTGATTGAAATAGATCGTAATCCTGACAAGTCATCCATATTTTTATTTAGGAAGTTAAAACAACCTAGCAGTATATAGAAGTAACCCCTCTTCATATAAAAATTGAATCCACCATCTTGAAGTTTTAAAATTGTCTGGAATGCTATTGTTATATTCATGAGTGGAACAACTACAATCTTCTCAATACATGATCGTATGGTAATTGCTCCAGCGTTGTGATCAATATGCAAATCACTAGGGATATAATATGTTAGTTTCCATTCTTATCTATTCTTGGAAATTTGTATATAGATAAAGTCGCTAGGGGTATATGTGAACAAAGTCCCATATGGAAAATCAGACAAGAAAAATAAGCTACTTAATTATAAAGAATTGTATACTTTTAGTTGTGTGAGGCCTATTGAGAAAAACTATGCGGGCTTAGCTCAAATCGGATAATATAGGAGGAAAATCAGAAATACCCAGATTTACAACTAGTAATTGAAAAATAGTCACAGTCTCAAAAGTAATCGAAATTCAATAAATTTTATATGTAAAGATAAAATCTGAACAAAAACATCCTTAAAAATCAGAAAAAATTCCAGCATAATATGCCGAAGTTCGAATTTTTTACTTATGAGATTAATACTAGCATAATGTGCTGAAGTTCTAACATAATATGCTGGATGTTTACACACAAGAACTCCATAATCCAGCATATTATGCTGGAATTTTTTCGTGTTTTGGAATATATTCCAACATAATATGCTGGAAATTTATACGCATGAGCTCCATAATTCGACATACTATGCTGAAACTTTTCATGTTTCAGCAAAACAATGGTTATTTTTTAATAAATTTGCAAATGATGACTATTTTTTAATTATTAGTTCGAAAACTGGCTAGCTCGTGCTATTTTCACTATCACACCATGTTAAGAATATTTTGGACCGTTCTAGTCCAACAGCTACATATCTTTATCATTAATATTCGAAACCCATTGTGGACGACTCTTATTGGATGATGTCTACCTAGTGCATGTCCACCGATTCATGAGTCGACCAACAAGAATTTTCCTTCAAAGAAATACTAAAATGCTGTTTGAACAAATAAAAAAGAGACAGAAACCGCATACTATTGAAAAAAGTTCTTCAAAAAGAGGGGGGGGGGGGGGGGCAGATC